AGATAGTATAAGTACATAAATTATTCTTAAATATTTAATTTAGAGAAAAATAAAAAATGGATAGTTGTTTTAGAATATAAAGATTATATTTTTGAAAGACAAAAAAAAAAAAAAACTTATACCTCTAGGGACAAACACAACATTCCTAAACATAACTTCATTTTTTAATAAAATATCAACTTATATTAAATTCAAGTTATGTGATATACAAGTGGATGAATAATTAAATAAATTATAATGTGCTTGGTTTGGCTAACTTTATTATACTATAAATTTATTCATAAATAAAACTTGTTAGAGTGTTAAGAAGAATCTAAGTTATAAACTAATTTTAAACTAATAATAGTTATTAAATAATATAATTTCAGTTATACCAAATAATTTTTTTAAGATGTTTCTCATTTCATAACATTAATATATAAAATTACGATATTTGAGTGTAATTTTCTTTAGAATTCTTTATTAAAAAAAAAAAGGCATGCGTTAACATAATCTAAATAAAGATTAGTTTTTGAGGTAACAAACTCCTACAAGATCAACTAAGCATAAAAGATCCACATCACGAGAATAATTCTGCAAAATAACAAAATCTTAAGAGGAGTGGGCACCCTCTTAGCAAATGGAATCAGCAGCCATGCATGTTATACTTCCTGAGATTTAGAACATGCTTCAGCTAATCAATTAAACCAATTCCCCGTTCCTCATTACTCCTTTCTAATTCCGAGCAAAACAAATGGGCTGTTTAATTAATTGATGTTTCCGTAATATTTCGAATTTCTTGGCAAATGGCAAGGACTTAGTTTCGCCTTTTCTTTTCAGCAAATTTTAGTCAACCAAAGTGTTCCCGAGGGCGAAGTAAAAATATACAAACTGTACGCATTTCAATTATGTCATGCACCGTTCGATGCCCGGTGACAGTGACAACCTCCAGCTTTATCACTTTTTCATTTTCTCATTTGGGCCATCCTTTTTTTAATTAGTATAATTAAGAAATGGAAAATAGAATAGTCAAAATTTAAATTTTAAACTTTTAAATATGATTATATTATATTTTTCAAAGTAATTGTGGTCCCACGAAGGTGGTTGGCTCATTTAGTCCATCTAGTAGTGCTGCCTCTTGTGTGAATAATTGACCAAAGGGAGACTGTCCCACTTCAATTATGGTCGCTGAGGAATACTTTAGGGTATGTGGTGTGAGGAAAAATAGAGAGTAAGAGAGGGAAATGGAGAGAAATTGAAGAATCCCAAATATAGGAATTATAATATGTTGTAAAATTTGGGGCATACCTTTCATTTCCTTCTCTTTCTCTCCACTTTAAATTTTTTTAACCCAATAGACGAATATTTATTCCTCTCTTCAAATTAAATATATTTCGAAACCTACTAAAATTTGAACTTAAAAATGTATTTATGTGATAAAAGAGATTAGATATAAATAAAAACATAATTTTTCAAAAACTTTTTAATTAAATATATGACATTTTTTTCTTATTAATTAAGATTATCATATTTTAAAAAGTTTTAATTATGAATATGACTTGCAATTTTACTAATTAAACTTATCACTTTAAAAAAATTTTAAAATATAAAAGATGAAATTTAAATGGTCAAACTAACATTTTAAATGAGTAATGATAGGAAAAACAAAAATTTTAAATAAAAAATTGAAATTAATACATATAATATCATGAATAGTAAAAAAATAAAAAAATAAATTATTAAATAATATAAAATTTATTTTTTAATATTTTGACTTATATCATATTATTAGTCTCAAATTCTCTTTCTATTTATAATTATTCATTTTAAATATATTTATCCCTAAAAAAAATAGTACAACGAAATTTCTCTTGCCAAGAAATTCCAACCAATGGAAATATCATGTAAATGGATAATCAAGATTTATCCCTAAAATAAATAGTTAAGAGGTGAATTTGGGTACTCAGCCTTTATACATCAACAAGAACATAAGATAATCAAAATTGAAGATAAAGATAAATAGTGTACCAGTTTAGTAGACGAAATTGCAGAAATGAATGTCCCCAACCGAATTAAAAGTAGCAGCCGATCAGCTTGAAAATTTTACACCCAGTTATTTCTAACCAGAGGGATGCGATGGATATTTTTTGGAAAACACATGATTTAGAAAGATCACTTGGAGGCACTTGTATATTTACTAGAAGTACTCGCAAAAAATGAGAACTCACATTATTAATTTAAGTAGTTACTAATTAATTTGATAAAAGCAAACAATTGGACAAATAATTGATAAAAAAAGGTAATTTGAAAATGAAGAATCTAACAATTTGCTCGAAAATAATTTAAAATTGATGAATATTTTAACTAGAATGAAGATTCTTTATTATAAGGACATGCATCTGGAAAAAAAAAAGTAAATATTTTCATTTTATATCTCAAAAAGAACATAATTGAATTATGATCAAAGATCTAGTTGGTATACCTACAGGTTTCACCGAAAAATTTGCAGAAAATGGACCCTGACTAATAACTAAATTAGTTGGCTAAGTCAAGAAGAATAGAAGTAGCAGCAAATCAGTTCAATTGCAGGGTTAATTCTCTGAGATGATACAAAGTGAGCCAGCTAAGGAGAAGAGGAGAGAACTTATACAAATTATAGCTAGAAATTTCTTGGAAGATGCTTGACAAATGCAAGTGAATGAATATGTGAAGACAATAAAAAAAGGTGCAAAAGTTACTCTATTACAAAGTGATCTATAATAACGCCAAAGGTTTTTTTTTTTGGAGAATATAATAACCCCAAGGTTGGATGCAATGGGAAGTAATGTTGTTTTGTAAGTTATATTTAAAGTTCAAATCTTGGGCTCAACTTGTAAGAAAATTAATTTATTTAAATGTATTAGGTCCACTTGGTAGGATGCTCTTAAAATTGATTGGATAGAAATTAATTTTAAAATATGAAAAACTTATACAAAAATACCTTGTCACTAATATAAAAAAATAA